ACATCTGAACACAGTGCTCCAGGTGGGGTTTCCGAGAGCAGAGCAGAGGGGGAGAATCCCCTCCTTTCACCTGCTGGTTCTGCTTCTTTCGATGCCCCCAGCACACGGTTGGTTTCTGGGCTGCCAGCGCACACTTTTTACAGTGCTGTGGGTGGTTAATACTTGTTCGCTGTTGGGACATACTGCCTGGGATGTGGAAATGGAAGCACATGCATTTCTGTAAAGAAAGAAGAAAATAGAAAATCAAAGACAGGGCTGGGGTGAGCCTTTTGTGCTTGGTGGGCAGGCTGTAAAGGGCTCAGGAAGCACCTGAACTGAGCCACGCAGAGCGGTTTCAATGCCGTGGTCAGGTGGAACTTTGCAGCTTGTACAGAGGAGGTGAACACAAGTTTTCAGTACAGCTGTAGCCAGAATGACACGGGCCCGTGGGGCTTCTGGTGCTTTCCCCCATCTCTGCGTCGGTTTGAAAGGCTTTGTCAGGTTGAAGGGTGGGTACCAGGGATTCTCTCTGGGAAAGGCAAATTTGCAATTCTGACACTGAATTATTTAAGTAAGACACTTGGAGCCTTCATTTCATGGTACGGGAACCTCTCACAGCCTATTAAAGGGGACAGAAGAGTAGCAAAACCCGTGTCTGTTTGGGCTGCAGGGCGCTGCCAGCCTGAGCGGGGCTGGAGGAGGGTGGCGAGGGGGAGCTGTGCCCTGGCCAGGCCCTTTGGGGTCCCGGGCTCTCACTGCGGTGTCCTTCCTGCAGGTCTCCGTGCCGCCGGTGCCAGTCCCCAGGGCAGGGGGGCCCGGAGCTGCCATGACGCTGCTGCCATCTCCCTGGCTCCCTGTGCGACTGCCCGGGAAGCGCTGCCCTCTCCAAGTCGGTGGAGGACTCAGACATCGGGCGCCCGCAGTACGTCACGCAGGTCACCGCCAAGGACGGACGGCTCCTCTCAACGGTGATCAAGGCGCTGGGCGCACAGAGGTACGGCTGCTTTGGGGAAGGGGCTTGGAATGACGGCATCTGGGCTTTCTTCCCTCCTTTTTTTGGGGCCCTAGGGATAGAGGGAGGCAACACCGTCTCATTTGTGAAGGAGTTTGCCAGGTTGCTAATGTTGAGTGTGAACCCTTGTCAGCCAGATGCTTCCCAGGCCTGTGTTCTCTTTGGGGGAGCTCACGCCGGTTGCATGTGCTGGTGAACTGGGACTTGGTTGTTCATCAGACCCCCCAGGCCTGCGGCTGCTCCAGCGTGGGACGGCCCAGGCGGCCTCTTGCCGTCTGCCTCTGCCAAGTCCTTGCTGAGCAGCAGGGAGGTGGGATGCCACGCTAGCTAGGGCAGCGTGCTGTTCGTGGAGATGATGTAGGGGAGGAAAGCCTGAAAATGGAGCAGAGCCGGTGTTCCAGGATGGTTGTACAGTAAAGGCATGGTGTCGATTTGCGGCCCCAGGGAGAGGAGGGTGTTGGTGTTGCAGGAACTGCTGTGTCCAGCTACTGCTAGAGGTGACATGTGGCAGTTTCGTGTGCTCAGACTCTTCCTCATGTGACTTCTGATCATGTATTTTGAGCAGCTTCCAGAGCAGAGGACACATTGCAGCATTGTTCAGTCCAGCTAGTGAGACCAGTCACATTTTGTGTTCAAATCCTATCTGAACAGCTGCTATATTTTTTCAATGAATTTGGCCAAACGTTGATGAGGTGTGAAAGTGGTGACTGCAAACATGGGGGAGGAAAGCAGGAAAGCTAGATGAGAACTAAAGCAAACATATATGCTATATCTGACCAAGCTGCAGCCGGTCAAAAAAATGTGAGGGGAACTGAGCTTGCTCTCTGGCAACGGATAGGCTGGGTGAGAAGTTGTGTGAGCCCTTAAAACTTGTGGAGGTGTAAAAACCAGGTGGGGAAAAAAAACACCAACAGGATTCCTCATGTGAGCTTCTTTGTGGGACACTGGTTCGCTCATTCTGGTGGTGGTGGGTTTCAGTCTCTTCCTTGTCACCAGCACTTAGCAAAGTGAAGGCAGGTGGAGCCACAGGACTCGGCGAGTTTGTGATGTGCCCGAGACGAGGACACGAGTGGCAGAAACACCCAAGCACAAGCCTCTGTCACAGCCAGTTAATTGGAAATACAAGAACTGAAAGAGAAATCGGAATCCAAATACGAAGAGAGAAGGCACCATGCTTGGAGAATATAAACTGCCACAGCAGCTGACAGCAAAATCTTGCAAGTGAAACAATGAGAGGAGTGACTGTACTGGAAGGTTGATTTAGTGATACGGTCTCTACGGCCTGCTGGAAAACTGTTTGAGGGGGTATCGTGTTGGCGTATGACCAGGCCCCCTCCCCCCCCAGAGAGGAAGGAAGGAAAATAGAGCCTGATAAGAATTTGTTTTCTTGCACTGTCAGCAGATTTTTTCCTTCTGGATTGTTTATTGGTAGCCAAGGTTATATTAATGCGCTGGAAATATGAAACTTCTCAAACAGGAAGAGAACAGATGAAGTATCCTACAGATGCTTTTCTTAGGAAATAACAGATGCATGCGGGTACTGGAGGCTTGGGTTTTCTTTTGGTGTCCCTGTCACCAATGCTGTGTGAGTGGACTGTCATTTTGTCATAGAATCATTGTCATTCTGATACGGCACTGAGCTTTATGGCAATAAAGGTTACAGGATCATCAAATAATTCAGATGGGAAAGGAATCCTGGAGGTCATCTGGCCCAGTCTCCTTTCAGAGCAAGGCCAACTTTGAAGATGGATCAGACTGCTCAGAGCCTTGCCTGGTGCAGTTTTCCGTGTCTCCAAGGATGGAGTTTCCACCACCTCACCAGACTCCTGTTGCAGGGGCTGTCCCAGCTGAAGAAGTCCCATAAATAAAAGGCACATGAAAAAGAGAACAAGGGTCAGTGGTTCACCAGGGATGTTTGTCAGAGAGAAGGGGACTGTGCAGTGGGTGTACATTGCTTCACAGTCCTAAAAATGAAGAAAAAGTCCAGTTGGGATGAAGTCTGCTAAACACTGAGTTGGAAGTGGTAAATGTCTCTGGTGGTACACCATGAGAGGAATCTTGCTTCTCCTTTAATGAGCTGAAGTGCACTTTCTTGCTGGCTTTTCTCTTCCCTTTGTGTCCCACTGTTTTTCCCCAGTAACACGCCTTTTCCTTGCACTGTGTTCTCACGTCTTGCTCCTCGTTTCTGTTTTATCTGGTTGCGCAAACTAATGGAAATAGTGCTACTGCTTTTGAAGATTGCAGATTGCTCATTCTGACTGTTGTGTTGCAATCCCACAAACTTCTTTTGCAGACAGTTCATTTGTTGTTTGGTTTTTTTTTTTAAAGTCAGAATAGCAGTGGAGTATGAACTATCAGATGGGATCCACTGTCAGCAGTATGTGGAAAAAGGTGATGGCTGCTACAGCTCACCTGGATTTCAAGAGGACATGCAATAGAGTCTCTGAAATAAAGGCGTTCCTTTCTCACCCTTTCTCTCACCCCCAATTCTGTGCAACTATGGATATAAGAGAACAGTTCGTTGTATGAAAGAAGTGGCTTGTTGGAAGGTGGGAAAGAAGTGGGATACTGGTGAGTGGTTTGTGTCCAGGGAGGGCTGCCCTGCACTGGGCTTCTGCTGTCCAGCATTATATTCCTAAAGGATCTCAGTGAGCAGCGTACGCTGAAGAGATGTACTGAATTGCTGAGAACAGCGAACTTCGGTGTCTGGAGCCATCTGAGGTTTCCCGGTGAGTCCAAGACATCCTCATTATGGAGCTGGCAAATGTGGCACAGGGCTTCTAGGAAACCTGTGCCTTCGGGTGCCAGCTGGGATGCTCTTGAACTTAAAATGACACTATATACCTGAGTTTAGGGAATTTAGTGTTATCAGAAACAGCTGCGGGCTGAAATAATGGGTGCAGTTCAGGGTGCAGTGATGCAAATGAAGAACAGTAGTCCAGGATTTATGTATGTGTTCGTGGGTTTGGAGGGAGGAGATTTTGGGCATGTGGCAGTTACATGCAGCAGGGACCAAAAGGCAAATAAGATGCTGAAATGTAGGAAAGCAATGAAAAACAGAACACAGTCCCTGCAGAAATTCCTGGTGTGCCCGCATCTGGAAAACTGTAGCTCTGTTCCCTACATCTCTAAAAGGATGTTTTAGAAATGCAAGAGGTAGAGGGAAGGGTAGTGAAGGTGATCAGAAAAGTGGATGTGTTTCTGTCTAAGGCATGGCTGAATAGGCTGGGACTCTTCTGCTTGTGAGGTGACTGAGCAGGCTGTGATGGAGGTCTGTGAGGGTGTGGAAAACATCGGCTTTTACAGGAGAATTAGAGGACAGTGCACAACACAACCAAGTGAGAGGTCTCAAGTGAAGAGAACTTAGTTCTTTGTGCAGGTGGAGAAAGTCCTTGCTGCAGGAGGACACTCTGATTTCACGTAGCCACAAAAAAAATTACTTTAGTCTGTGATGGAAAATTGTTGCATGAATATCATCTGATGCACCTGAGCTGATGGTTGTTGGATGCTGGAGCAGCAGCACCGGTAGTCCACAGTCAGCAGCCCCAGTTAGAGGCATGAGGGAACATCCTGGGGACAAACGGGTGGCTCGAGTGTGATCAGCAGTGCGGGCCTCCCGGAGGGAAGGGTGCATGTGTCTCTGAAAGCATTTGATACTGCCCGTGACAAGTATCTCTGCTTCTGTGAGGTCCCAAGAGAGCAGATCTTGAGCGTGATCAAAGAGATCTGATTCTGTAGTTGAAACTTCTGGCCGAGGAGGGGGTGAGGAGTGGTGGCTGGTGAAGCACCGAGGCATTTCTGCAGCCGGTGAAAGGCCCGAGCGCTGCAGGACGGTGGTGTGCAGACTGGATGCTGAGTGAGCTGCTGCACTGCGGTGGGCGGAAGGTTTGCATGCCAAGAACTTCGTGTGGGTGACTGCTTGCCATGAAATATGGTGTGTCCTTGGAGAGCAGAGCTTCCCGGGCCGTGCAGCTGTGACTGTGGACGTCGCTGTTCCTTGCGCAGGTACTGCCAGACCAGCATGCAGAACGGAGATGGGGCGAGAGTGGACAGCAGGTCTGATCAATGCGCGTCTGACTGTAAACCTCTGGAGTGGACCCAGGTGGTTGGGGGCACGCTGTGACTAGCGTGGATCCTCCAGTTCTGCTTTGGGCCTCGGTATTTGCATCAGTGCTTCAGGGTTGGTTTTGGGTCCGGTGTCAGCCGGCTGGAGAGGAGTTGGAGACTGCGATCCCTTCTGTGTTCGCCCGCGCAGGACCGCAGCTGAGCTGGCCAGGCTAACGTACCGGCTTCTCTTGGCTGTTGTGGTGCTCATCAACACGGCTTCCAGATTTTACTGACCTAAAATGTCATGGGCGCCTGCCCACTCCCCTGAGGTTGGTTCTTGCTGCAGCGGGCAGCTTTGGAGAGTTGCAGGGCGCTGGCACGCTCTGCCACGCGCTGCCTGCTGCGCGTGCGTCCTGCTGGGGCTTGCTGGGGTTGGACCCCCTGCTCTTGTGTGGCTGTATCGTTCTGCCTGCTCTGACCGTGATTTCGTTCTGTTTGTCTGCCTCTTTAGTGACGGTCCCATCTGTCGAATCTGTCACGAAGGTGGAAATGGGGAGGGACTGCTTTCCCCGTGTGACTGCACAGGAACACTGGGCACCGTGCACAAGAGCTGCCTGGAAAAATGGTTATCCTCCTCCAACACAAGTTACTGTGAGCTCTGCCACACAGAATTTGTTGTAGAGAGAAGACCAAGACCTTTGACCGAGGTACCACTTTCTTCCTGCTTCATTTTTATTTCCTTACCATTTGACAAAAAATGACTGATTTGCCCTGCTGTCCTTGTGGTTCTTGCTATCTCCACCTCCTTGCAGTACCTTAGCACTCGGAAAGAGCGATTTGTTTGGAGAGATCACATCTCTTACCAGACGCAGGGATGCAGTTGCAGAATGCAGGAGCGATGTTTGGGACAACCCTTACCTGTGAACCCCCCACATGCCAGCTACCGATGGCAGGCTGCAGGACTGTGGAAAACGTTGTAGATACGCTGTAATGCCTGAGCATCGAAACGCAGAGGTCACCACACGAGCGACTGAAATATGAAGCTCTCAGAAATACGATTCTTTTTTCCTGTTAGTTTTAATCTTATCTCGCAGCATTGCATTAGCGCAGCTCTCTTGCATGTCACTTCCTGGTCATGTTCTGCTCTGAAAAGTGAGAGGTGGCGATCGCTGATACTGTTCATAAAAGCCTTGTCCTCTCTTGGCTAATATTGATGTGTGCTGCAAAGCCTTCGTCTGCTGAGCTGTGGTGCCCTGCTGCTGCCCTGTGTTCCCCCCAGTCGCAGGAGAAGGCAGGACATGGCTCAGCAAGTCCTTATATCATCTTGGCATTGACCATAGGGGGACCAGGTTCCTGATGGGTCCATCACCTCCCAGAGCTGGAAGACCCAGTCCAGGCTCTGGCTGGTGGGTTGGTTGTTTTGTGGGGGGGTTTTTTTGTTTGTTTGTTTGTTTTGTTTTGTTTTGTTTTTTATCATAAGGGTCTCTTCATTCCCCTGTGTAGGTGGTCTGCTGTGCTCACCTTTCAGAGTTTGTTCAGCCCTAAAGTGTATAGCGGCTGCCTGTAAGGAAGCCCTTTACATGTGAGGAACAAGGGCAGGTTGGACCAGGCCATCTTCTGGCCTCAGAACGTAAGGGTGCAGCCCCAACGAGGAATAAGTAAATCAGCGAGTTACAGGGCAAACAGCTGTAATAGTTTGGTTTAAAAGACAGCTTAATCTGTCCAAATAAAATCATAAAATCATAGAATCCCAGAATGGTTTGAGTGGGAAGGGACCTTAAAGATCATCGAGTTCCAACCCCCTGCCATGGGCAGGGACACCTCCCACTAGCCCAGGTTGCCCAAAGCCTCATCCAGCCTGGCCTTGAACCCCTCCAGGGATGGGGCATCCACAGCTTCTCTGGGCACCCTGGGCCACTGCCTCACCTCCCGCACAGTGAAAAATTTCTTCCTAAGGTCTAGTCTAAATCTCCCTCTTTCAGTTTATACCCGTTACTTGTGCTCTCACTACACTCCTGATAGAGTGCCCCCCCATCTCTCCTCTAGCCCCCTTCAGGTACTGGAAGGCTGCTATTAGCTCTCCCCGGAGCCTTCTCTTCTCCAGGCTGCACACCCCCAACTCTCTCAGCCTGTCCTCGCACGGGAGCTGCTCCAGCCTCTGACCATCTCTGTGGCTCTCCTCTGGACTCTCCCCAACAGGTCCAGGTCTTTGTTATGTTGGGGGCCCCACATCTGAACACAGTGCTCCAGGTGGGGTCTCACGAGAGCAGAGCAGAGGGGGAGAATCACCTCCTTCCACCTGCTGCTAATGCTTCTTTTGATGCCCCCAGCACACGGTTGGTTTCTGGGCTCCAGCGCACATTGCCGGCTCATGTTGAGCTTCTCATCCCCCAGCACCCCCAAGTCCTTCTCCTCAGGGCTGCTCTCCATCCATTCTCCTCCCAGCCTGTATTTGTGCTGGGGGTTGCCTCAACCCACGTGCAGGACCTTGCATGTGAATACTGTTGGCAGGTGAGCAGGTGATGTGGCTGCCATTTCTGACAGTGCTGCAGGACAATGTAGGAGGGTGTTGCTTGCACACCTGAGGTCCAACCTGGAAGATCAAAGCAAGGTCCTGCAGCCCATGTGCCCGCACCCCATCGAGGTCCCATTCACTGCCTGTGGAGCTGTAGGCAGGCTGTTCCCTGCATCAGCCTGCTGCTGGGCTGGGCTTGGGTGTTCATTCGACACAACGTGCCCCTGCAGAGAAGCATCCGTCTGCAGGTAGGGATTTACAGTTAACAATTTTGGGAGCCTCCCAGTCCTGCAGCCCCCAGGAATGACGGAAGTGGGACGGCGTCGTCTGGAGCTGCCACTGCAAATACTGCACTGTCCTGGTTTCAGCACTTCTTTGCGTGCAGCCTGTCCCTGCAGGGTTTGTCGTCGTGTGCCTCCCTGGCTGTGTTTGCGCTATGGCACGTAGCTCTGAGTTTTGTTTCAAAAGTTACTTTTCCTGTTTATAGTGTTTCAGACCCATGCAAAGCGGTGCTGCTGCTGCTGCTGCTGCGCTGCCATCAGTGGGGCTGCAGAAGGAGGTCTGTGGGTGTATTCTTAACAGACTCCTGTTACCTGCCAGCTATCGGAGCTTTGTTGGTGCCTGCCACCAGCAGTGTATGTGCAGGGAGGAGAGGGTTAATTCTGGTTTGTAACTGTGACTGCTCACAGCCCACTCTCTCCTTCCCCTTGCTCCATCAGTTAGATTAAAACGAAGCCACAGTTGAAATTTGAAGTTGCTTTTCCCATCTCTGTTCCCATTCCCATTGATCTAGACACTATTTTCCTTTCCCTTTCCGCCTCCCTCTGGAACTGGTACCTGTCCCCTCCTCCTGCCTGCAGTCCCCAGCTCTCCTGCCCGCAGCCCCATCTCCTCCAGCTGCCTGGGGAGCCTTGGAGGGGAAAAGAGCCCCCAGCTGCGCCAGCATTCAAGCTTCAGTTTGCAAAATTGATATTCACTTTTAGCGACGGTTTATTACCACCGACCGTCGTTGACTTGACAGCCCCAGAGAGGAGAAGGTTTTAGACTACAATGCTACACCAAACGCTGTGTTTAGCCAAGCAGTTTGTTAAAGAGCATTGCATCAGGGGTTAGCGCTGGCTGAATCTTACTGCTTTTCTCCCAGCTGCTAAAACATACAAAATGGCTCTTTGACCAAAATCTCTCAAATGGTTGTTGCAGAGGTGGAAAACCTCTGCTTTAAAACATGTGGGAAGGGCTGTATCTTGGCTCTGAGGACACACCGCAGGCAAGCCCAGGGAGAGAGAGCGAGCTTGCTGAACCTTCTGCGCGCCAAAATTGTGAGTGCAGGTTTCAGATGTTTTAGCTTAAGAGCCAGTAAAGTATTTGTGCCCAGAAACAACCACGTGGAAGTGCTTTAGTCATAGTTCACAGATGCTGTAGCACCTTGTAACAAGTACAGACTTAGAAAACTGCGTACTTGAATAAAAGCGCAACGACCAGCGTGTGCTGGAGAGGTGTCTCCTCTGTTGCTGGTGTCTGTGCCGCTGGCAGGCAAAAGGGGCTTGCTGGGCTAGTGCGACAGGAGAGTTATGGGTCCCGTGTGCTGCCCTGTCTGTGCTCCAAGGTGGGTGAGTGAGCAGCCCGGGACAGGCAGATTTTAATTCCTGTTGAAATGTGAAGACCCCCTCTGAACTGGAGCCTGGAGGGATCTGGTGGTCAACAAGCGACCTGTGAGCACTGAGAAGTGATGGGTGGGCAGCATTTAATGAGTCCCAAACGCAAGAGAAATGCCAGCGTGTTTCCAGAGGGGAATAGACACCTCGAGCTGTTACTGATAGCTGTCACAGACCTTGGGATGCAAATTATTTTTTACTTCTTGCATTTGGGGTCTGTCAGTGACACAGCGACGGGGATGATCTGCCCCGTTTGGCCTCTCCTGTGTCTGCCAGGGGAACAGCTCGCATCAGGTGCTGTTAGTGCCTTGTGAGTTTGGAGGCTGGTGAAACACTTGCTGAAAAGTGGCCAGTTAGCCGGTGAGAGTGATCCCTGCTGTAGAGCGGAGTCTAACATGCAGCTTGCCATCATCGTACAGCCCTGGAGCAATTCCCTTGCCTGCAGTTCCTTGGCAGCAAGCTTTTTCCCTGTCTTGAGGAGCAACCTGTCGCCTGGTTTAATAAATCCCGTGGTAGCAGCCTGCTCTTGCTCTTTCCCAGGGGCCAGCAGCGCTCCCCCACCACGCAATGGAGCACCGCGAGCCCGGTCCAAGCTGTGCTGAGCAGCACGTGTGCTGCGGCCTGGAGCAATTCCCTTGCCTGCAGTTCCTTGGCAGCAAGCTTTTTCCCTGTCTTGAGGAGCAACCTGTCGCCTGGTTTAATAAATCCCGTGGTAGCAGCCTGCTCTTGCTCTTTCCCAGGGGCCAGCAGCGCTCCCCCACCACGCAATGGAGCACCGCGAGCCCGGTCCAAGCTGTGCTGAGCAGCACGTGTGCTGCGGCGGGGACCCAGGGATGTGCCGGGTCTCCGTTAGCGTCTGTGCTGCGTACCCGGCACGTCGCGAGCGGAGGGCACCTACTGGAGTGACACGGCTCCCTTGGCTGGAAAGACTGTGTATTTTTATTGTACTGCTACCACACTGTAAAACTCTCTATTCCCTGCCTGGAGTCTGGGGAAAATGTCCTGGAGTTCAGTTTCTCATTTTCCTTGGGAAAATCTTCCAGCGCAGAGCCACAAAGATGATGA